AGCAAGTGCTTGGTATGAACAGCATCCCAAAGCAGCAGCAGATCCATTCCTGGGCAATACCTTCAAAGCACCAAATTTGTGAGTTACTGAGAAGTAACAAAACATAAAAGGAAACATCCACTTTAAAAAGAAGAGGGAGTTATCATACCAGGAGGGTAAGCAGCAGATACATATTAAAGGTTCAGGGAACTCCAGTACAATATAGAATAGAAGCAACAAAAATGGATAACTTTGCCTTATTCTAAATTATAATATGAAAGCATTCATTTTGAGCAAGCAACATGAAAGCTGGATTGGGAAGCAGTGATGTTTTGTAAGCAGAAGACATGATTATCAACTGGAAGAAGAGGAAGATTTCTGCATTAAAACTGTTTCAATGTTTTTGCTCAATAATAAATGACACATAAATATGCAAAAAAAAATTATCCAGTCTTGTGTATAGTATTCCATTTTAGAGACAGAAAATGGACAAAGACATACCTGGAGGAAACTAAAGCAGCATTTAATGAGCAGAAGGGAACATTTAAAATACTGTATATCCAGGCCAGGGATTTAGCTCAGTGGTTTCACCACCTGCTGCACAAGCACAAGGACCCGAGTTCGATCCCCGGTACCAAAAAAAAAAATTAAAATACTGTATATCCTAACAAGAAGATATAGAAGGCTCAGTAAAAATAAGAAATAGTTCATGAGAATGAAAAATATGATAATTTTTTTCTTAAATTCAATAGAAGGTTTGGAAAATAGAGTCTTCTAGAAGTTAGATAGAATCTTAAGACAAAGAGATGGAAAATATTAAGTAAATTAGATAATCAGTCCAACAAAGGTAACAACCAATGTATAGGAGTTCTAGGAGAACTATTAAAATGTCTGGCATCAAAATAGCTTAAAATAATACAAGGCGGTGTCTTCAGACTACAGAAAATAAGCCTTCAGATTTAAAAAGGACTACTGAAAAATGTTAGGAATTATAATGACATAAGGCTTTTTAATTGTAATATTAGAATCTTGAAAAAAGTGATCTGTTAAAAATCCTAAGTGAAAATCAATTTCAAAATAGAATTATATACCCTGAAAAACTATTGAGTGTATGCACAAGACAGGAGCATTTTCAGGCATATAAATAGATACAAAACATGTATTTTTATATATTCTTTCTTATGAAAGCTACTTAGAGAATATACTTCAACCCCCCAAAAAAGTAAACTGAGAAATAGGATGACTTGTGGTCCACAAAACAGGAAACTCCAAAGGAGCATGGAGAAGGCTTAACATAGACTTTTTTTCCTGAGATAGGGTCTTACTATGTTGCTCAGGTTGGCCTTGAACTTCTATGCTTGAAGAGATCTTCCTGCCTTAGTCTCCTGAGTATGTTGGCCTACAGGCATGTGACACTGCACTTGGCTTGTTACCTTTTTTAACATAGGAAACCAATAGATAATTTTTGGTATTGCAAAGTCAAGAAGTAGCAATATAAGTATGTCATTTAATAATATGTAGTTAAATGTCGGAAGAGTTGATAATGTACCCTTGGGGATTAGGCTTAGAGATGCATGAGGGGTAGAACATGGGCACTGTTCTTCTTTGCTAAGAAGAATTGGATGCTATTTGACTTAAATTGGGTGAATTACTTTGATAAGCAAATATAATCAATAATAAAAATAAAGGGACATATATCCATGATTAAGAAAAAACGTCCTACAGTATAAAGGGATATAAATAAGCAGTAATGTGACTCCCTCTCTTCCTGTCCCATTGCTGGCCCTACTCCTGTTTCATCAGTTTCAACTTTCAATTGTTTTGGTGGTTATAGTCATCCCCCCACCCCCAGATGGTACTGATAGAACTCAGGGCCTAATGCTTATTAGGCAAGTACTTTACCAGTGGACAACATCCTGGCCCCTGTCTGCATGATTTGAAGTGGATCTTTTGGTTAAGGATCTTGTGGTAAAGCCATCTGGACCTGCCTCTGCCCATTTGGCCAGAAGATGACCATATCAACTGCATGGTAGACACACAGGTTAATAGTGTACTGTGAGAGGAATCACAGTTGGCCTCTGACTGTTGTTGGCCTTTCATGCCTGCGTCACTGTGAACAGCCAAGGAAGCGGCCCTGACCTAGTTGGGTGAGGCAAAGGATTATCCTGCCAGTGGGAGCGTGGCATTTCTGGCAAGAGCTTTCTCTTCTAACTGTTGGAGTTGGTGCCATGGCAGATTTTCCTGACTCAGGGAGTAAGTGTTGAGCCCTAGTGCAGCTGGTTAGATTATTTGTTGGTTTTGATTATCTGAACCAAGAAGCTCTTTTGCTGGATGGCAGGCAGTAATTTTCCATCTTCCTAACAAAAATGCTTTTTGCATTTGAAGATTATAATAGGTAAAGTTTTATTCCGCTTTTACCAAAATGCTGCTATGTAAAGAAGGAGGAAATTTTGCTGAATCTAATCAAGGACTCTTCAAGGATAGCCGTGTACCCTTAGGCAAGTCGTTTTTTCTACTTTCCACTTTGCTGGTTTTGAAAGGTATTTTCTAACTCGTATGTGCTAAGAGCTCAGCTAAATACTCATTGTCCCAGTCAGTCTTCGCAAGTCTTTGGAGCTTGCTACAGTCCCACTTTCATTTTAGGCTGAAGAAATTACATGATAGGCGAATGACTTGTCCAAGGTCACTGTGTCAGGAGCCCTGACTTGTGTTGGCTCTTGGAACTACATGTTCCATCTCTGTTTGACTGACTTTCAACGCAGCCTCTGACTCTGTAATCACGTGAGAATAAGAAAGCATTTGACTTATGCTTAAAAACCTAACTATCAGCATGAGGCATATACTATATGTTACTATTGCGTGATGCTTACAAAAATTTTTGTATCTATTTTTTTTCTTCAGTGCTGGGGATTGAACCCAGGGTCTTGCACATGCAAGGCTATCTCCAGCCCTGTTTCTATTCTTTTAAAGAAAGTTTGGATTCGTGTATGTTTTCTCTATTTGTCGTTCTTTAGTTTTTTCTCAATTCAAAATTCTGGGGCCATCTTTGGTCTCTAGTACCTATCCTTTTATTCCCATCAAATCACCATACTTTCTTTATGTTTCTGTTTAAAGTCTTGCTACTCATCCTATCTGGTCTTGTCTCCCTTCTGCTATTTCTTTCCACCTTAATTTGATCTTACACACTGGTCCAGTTTTTAAATTTTTTTCTTAGCTTCTGTCATATGGCATATGTGTTTAAATCATTAATGTCTCCCATTATTTTAAGAAAAAATACAGCTTTCTTAATCAATGACTGAAGACCTTTCCTAATGGGATCTACACTAAGACTCCATGAGTTTTTTGCTTTACCTTCTTTCTTTTCTTGCCTGTGCTAAGATAGCCCTCATCTGGCCATGGAGGCATGGATTATCATGGTTAACAACTAATTTTCTGTCTTTTATATACTTTGTATTTTGATAGTTTTTTTGTTTGTATATTACTCACTTACCCAGATGAATTGTTAACTTCTGAATGTAGACAAAAGAACTCTGAGTCCAATATAATATTTAGCACATTTCTCTGCATATAGCATTGTAGAAAAAATTAATGAATAAATTTTTGAAGTTCTAAAGTCAACATACAATTCCAATTCTGTCCTTTCTTTTGCTGATTTCATAAATGTTAAACAAGTAAAATTTTAATTTTGTTGTTTTTATCTCTAATTACATATGAGATTAAAAATATGTAATAAATAAAAATATTTTGAAGAAATAAATCATTTATATTTAGTATTCTACTCTGAAAGGTATAACAAATCTACTTTGAAAGCAATATATTCAGTATTACATTGTTTCAAAAACAATATTTGAGAACTTTCAATAAATTATATTATTGGTAATATATAGATTTGGTGGGGATAACCTGAATATAGTGATATGATTATGAAAATATATATAAATGAATTGTTAAATTTATTTTACATGATGTATTAACTATAGTTGAAGATCATTCAGGATTTTGAGTAATTGCATAATGAAATTTAAAAATATATTTAGATGCTAACCTTAAAATACTCAGCTTAGACATGATTTTTTTTCTCAAAAGGACATTGTATTTTGTGTATCAAAATTGCTTCTCACTTCTTGTTAAACCTGAAAATATTTCTGCCTTTTTAAAATTTTTCTTGTTTTAGTCTGAATATTTTAAAATGTTCAAGTCTATTTTCTTTTGCTTAATTTCATAAATGTTCTATAATAAATATTTCTACTTTACTATAAAAATGATTTAAAACTATATTCTATATCAATATTTTTGCTTTGAAATATTTTAGTAAGATAAAATAATTTCTTTCTGAAACCAAACATTCATAAATTTTTGTATACTCAAATTTATTGATCTTAGAGTACTTTTGTTGCTTTTTGAAATGCAAATTTTAATGTACTGTTATTGCTGCTCTAAATTTCCATACACTTTTGAAGTTAAAGGTTCTTGTGCTCTATCTTTTCTAACCCATTCTTTCACATAATATTGAACATTGTAATAATGCTTTCTTGTACACCTCACATTTTTCTAAAAGATACCTTAAAATATTTTAACCTTTAATCTGGTTTTCATTACATCCAAATGAAATTGTAAATCATAGCTTTCAAATAAAAAGTCACCTATTTGGTGTAAATCCTTGCATATATCTAATCAAATCTCTTAAAGATATTACATTTTGAAGGTAGTGACATTTTAAGTTATAATGACTTTTTAAAGGCAACAAGCTTCAGAATGGAAGTGCTGATTATACATTTTGACTATTCTCATTTCATCATTTCACTTTTAAAACCAAATTTCATCTTACATCCAAAACAACCTCACTAATGTGCATATCTGGATGTGCTAATTCCCTTTGTCATAAAACAGAAGCTAGCCTAAAATTTCTAATAATTTCTCATCACATTAAAATCCATAGGAAAAATTAACATGAGCTAATTTAGAATTTAAGTGCACATATTTCATATGGATGCTTTTTTTCCCCTTGGTCTCTACCTAAGGAAATAGAGAAATTGAAAGTAGAACTGAGTGAAACCAAGCAGCATGTGGAACAGGAGCAGCAGCAGGCAGCCCGGGCCAGAGAGGAGTGCCTGAAACTAACAGAACTGCTGGCCGAATGCGAGCACCAACTGCACCTCACCAGGTACTCCCTAATCCCATTATGCACCCTCGCCCCGATTCCATTCCACTGATTTTTGCCACAGGCTTCCAAACAGTTGTTCGAGTTAGTCTTAGTCATTCGATTCACACACAGCTTTCAGGCATATTAAGAAAAGTGGAGATGTGGTAAGCAAAACACCCAGACATATGAATGATAAGTGTGGCAGAGAATTACTGATATATTACAAAACCTTTCATCTACAATGCTCAAATATTTAAGTGATTCTTTATCAATATAAGCAGAATGACATAATTCTTCCACTATCACCACAACCTCTCCTGTTAATTCTTCATCTGATAAAAACACTGACATGTTGGATCTGATGAATACATTTAGGGAAATAAGAAGATATGTCAGTGATGAAAGAGACAAAATTAAAAAATCCTAAAATGCAAATTGAAATGGAGCTGATACAAAATAAGAATCCATGACCTAAAAAGGTGTAAAATGTAGAGATCAAATTGATTAGCAGTGCTCATAGTCAAGTCATTATTATAACCATGCTAAGACCATTGAGGTTGTAGATTGCATTCTTTTCATCATGAGATACTGTGATGTGATCACTATTGTTGTAAACTTTAGAAAACATATAGCTCAGTTCTAAATTAAAATAAGACCATTTAGGCTGCAAACACTATATTTGCTGTATTAGAAAAACATACATGCAAACCTAAATACACACAAAGGGAAAAATCAAATAGGGACAGTAGATATTTCACTTTACCATGTAAGTGATTCCTTCTCACTTTGAGTTTTAGTACAGTTTTTCAGTTTTCAGATTAAGCCTTTGGATTTATTCAGTTCTTAGAGTTTTTCAGTTTTTAGAGAGGATTTTGTCTAAATACACATGTAAGTGTATGATATTTGATTTAGTTTATAAAATAGAAAAACACTGGTCTTCCAATTATAGTACTATGTTGAATTTAAACTACGAAAGGGGACTGATCCCTTTTACATTAAATATGACAATGTAATTCTGAGCACGGTATGATAACAGATGGAGAAAAGCACCACTTGAACAGCCTGCATTTGGAGAAAAAATATTCTAGAGGTTGGTGAACCTCCCAAAGTTTTGGGTTAGTGTTAAGATGCCTCTAGTTCTGTTAAAATCAAACTTTGTTATGGAAAAAAAAAACATTTTGTTGTGATAATATTCCAAATGGTTTGACACCTTCTTTTTTAAACAGTAAAAGAAAAAGAGAGGGAAAAAGAAAGAGAAAGAAAGAAAATAAATCATTTATACATTATGATATTTGGGGAAAAAAACCTTAGATGAAACACTTTTATGAGAAAATGCTGCTTAATTTTACAGAATAATAGCTGTTCTTTTAATGTCTGTTTAATGTATTGCCATTGTGGAACTGAGAACATAATATTGACCTAGTTCTGGTGGTTTATTTAGTCTACAAAGTTTCAGAATTTAGCTTCATCATGATAATGGTACAGTTTTTCTTTTCTGTCAGACTCGTATTGAGAACCAACCATTTGTGTGCTGAGTACTAGTAAACCACAGAAATAGACAGCTTTTAATGTCTCTGTGGCTGAGCTTCAGTAAATAAATATTAATGCTGGCTTTGCCCCTTTTACTATTCTGTCTTATTCAGAGAGTTAATTACTGAAGTCAAAGTCTGGAGAGAGTTTTCCCGAGCAGTATCAATTTGTACTGTTTGACAAGATCAATTTCTTGCAAGTAGAGTGTATTAAGATGCACCAACTGCTGAAAATGGACGAGTGGTAACTAATTCCTTTGTTCTTAAGCAAAACTGTTTTGCTTGGCTCTGTAGAAAGCTTTTTCCACTGAGCATTGATTAATCAATTCTATAAAAATTTAAACCTAGTTTTACAGGAAATAAAATTTAATCACCTGTTTTCTAAAGGCGCAGTACTCTTGAAAGCATTTTGTTTAGTTTATGCTGATATTTTATAAAATCCACATTCATAAATTGAAAGATGACAATTGGTAAGGAACCGTGTATATCTCTCCTTTGCACTGAAAATGAGATTTGGCTGTAGTACTAAATACTCTGGTATACTTTTTTTAAAAAGAGTTTGCTAGCACTCATCATTCTCTATTAATTCAGTGTACTCAGGTGTGGCTGAGAAACATTGCGTTTTTCCTTTTTCCCTATAGACCAGTGGACATACATAATGCTCATCCAAATGGCACCTCACCATTCAGTTTCAAACATCTTGAATGGCATATTCTTATCACAGTTTAAAATCAAATATGAAATCTATATTATGCAGTAATGGTGAAATCAGGATACATATCTCTAGGGTCAAAGAAAATTTTAAAATTAAAGTAGGAATCTGTAGATCAATCTGAAAGAAAAAGCTGTCTGTGGTATTTCTCCTTATTTTGATTTAAATTGGATTTTAAACATGAAAAATAAAAGTTCAGCATTTATTACAAGACTCCGGTGGTCACTTAGTCAACATTTATTGAGTACCTACTATCTTTGAAGTACAATTGAATCACATTTCCCCATAAGGGCAATATTGAACCTAACCATTGAATTTGATTGGGTTCTCCTCCAACTCGGTTTGCACCAGAATCATGGAAAGAATCAAGTTGCTAAACCGAAGTACCAATGTATTCTGCTTGCCCCTAAAATAGTAGTAAGACTCACTTCATATCCTTAGACTGCTTAGACTCAGTTAAAGGAGCCAGATCTATAAGTGCAGTTATAGTAAAGTGTGACAATACTGCTATGGTAGAAGCAAATATTACTACGGGAGCACACGGGAAGGAGAATGGCTCATTCTGCACGGGGGCGGCTGAAGGTGTCACAGAAAGCTGAGAGTGAAAATGATTGGGGGGGGCAGATAGTTGGCAGTGATCTTAATTAATTAGTTCAGGTGTAGGAGTTTTCAAAGTGCACAAAGGTGGGCTGGGTATACCAGTGCAGGGGCTAATAGACACAAAGACATAAAAGTGGCAGAGAACATAAACTGTACCATCAGATTAGGTATTGGGTGGAAGTAAGACTGAAAAGGGGGAGCAGGGTCCTGATGGAAGTCTTGGCCATTCTGAGAGTAATGGATTGATCTCAATGCATTTTAAGCTATCAACATGATAGCTTAAACTCACAGAGCAGTGCAGAAGTGAACTTGGAGAGGTGAAACAGGAGACATGGCCACCAATGACACCCCATGGGTAAAATCTGCCCTATTGTCTGTTTCTGTATGATTTATAAGCTAGGAATAGAGTTGTTTTCTGTTTATTTGGGGGGAAAATTGTATTTTATGCCAAGTACAGTGGCATGCACCTGTGGTCCCAACTTCATGAGAGGCTGAGACAGGAGGATCACATGAGCCCAGGAATTTGAGGCCAGCTTGGGAAATAGACTGAATGATAATAATAATGGTATTATGAAATAACAATACTATTATCATTATTACTTTGTAATACCTAAAGACTGTACATAAAGTTTTGCGGAACGTAGGTACAGTTATGCATTATGTGTGATGTGTGACACTACCACAGCAAAGTTGAGTATTGTCCTCAAAATCCAAAATATTTGTTGGCTGGCTGTTTACCAACCAAATCAACCAGCCCCTCAGGTAGGAGGCCGTTTAGTTCAAGTAAGAAGTCAAGAGAGCTTGATGGGTTCCAATCGTGTTATTTGTAATTGAAAAGCATTGTGAAAATAGACGGAATGAGAAAGCAGTGATTAGCAAGGGCCCCAGAGGGACAGGAATAAAGCTCTGGGCCATGGCTAGACCAGTGAAAAGGAAAGAAAGTCATATGTTCCAGAGGTATTTAGAGTAGCAAATGGGAGACAGAATTAAAGGAGACTCTATTGTTTGCAGACTAAATTGACTGCATAATCCTTTAATCCAACCTGGGAATTTAAAAGAGGTAGCAGAGGAAAATAATACATTTTGTTTAGGAACTTGGGTGGAGATGTCTAGTGTAGTTTTGATGTGAGGCAAAAGGTTGCAACTAGAGGCTCAGATCTGGATGCTTTTATATAGAGGTATTGGTTGTAACTTAAAAAGAGGGTGAAGGCACATGTAGAAAATCTTTATAAAGTTTTAACAGTGCTGGGGATTAAACTCAGCACCTCATGCATGTTAGGTAGGTGCTTTACCACTGAGCTACATTCTCAATCCAAAGCCCCTGCTTTTGAAGTTCATTAGAAGAGCTACCAGCCAAGGAGACTGAAATGGGGCCTTCAGGTACTTGTATATAAGAAGAGAATTAAAAATTATTTAAAAGATGCTTTAGTGAAGTAACCAAATATTATTAAAACTGTACACGATTCTTAAGGGAGATCCCCAGGCAGCCTTGGACTGAGGAAACCTGCTTTACAGTATCTTTCCTAGGCATTCATTATCTTTGTATCTTTTGGCAAATCACTTAGCTCTCTGGGCCTGCTTACTTGCCTGGAGAATGAGTTAAGACTACATGTTTCTAAATTTCTCTTGATAATCAATGACTATTGTAACAACTATTTAAAATAGTCTGTTATGTAGTTCCTACTTCAGGTTAGTAGGTATTTAAGTTGGTTTGTGTGTCCTTTGTGTAAGATGTTCCTTGATTGGACTTCAGAGTGGACACAGAAATGTCACACATACCCACCACCCACATTCATCAGAAGGTAGGCTCTGCTGATCTCACAGGAGACAGTCTCTGAGCACCCTTCCAATCTCTTTTGCTAACCACTGCCCATTGAATCTTCATAGGCCACTGCCTTGACTCCATTGCTCTAGTCTCAAAACCTTTTGTGATGCCACACTCACTATCAGAAAGTACAAAATCACTCAGCATGGCATTTCAGGTCATCCCCATAGACTCCAACCTTCCGGCCTTATTTCATCCCTACCAATCCTCTCATGCTGTTGTCTAACCAAATATAACCACATGCAGTTCCCTTTGTAGTTTTGGACTTTTCTGTCCTTTTGTTCTGGGCACCTTGGTTATCCTTTGGGCCTTCTGTGGCCTTCTTATAACTTTACCTTTTTTTCATGGTCTCCCT